CCACCTTAAACTAGGGAAAGGGCCCAAATGAGTAAAGTATTGGGGCAAAAAAAATTTTATTAGGACAATTTCCGGGTGTGCCTCCAACTGAAAGGAACTTTTAAAATTAAATTTAAGGAGGGGCCTAATAAAATAACAAAGTCCCAAATATGCCTCAAAAAAAATGGAAAAATAAATTTCCGCCCCAAATTTAAAAGGCCAAACAATAAAGTTTAATGTTTGGAGATGAAGTCCCCAAAACGAAGAAAAGTTTTGGGGTTTTTAAATTTGGGGAAAAAGAGAGAGATTTGTTAATTTTAAAACCTAAAAAATTACAGAAAGGGCCCAAAAAATTTAAACAAGAGAGTTTGCTTGCTGAAGTTTCCAAATGTTTTTGATCCACAATTTTTAGTGTCCCCCCCCTTCAATAAGGGGGAAAATTTATTAAACAGGAACCCGGGAAACCCTTTAAAGCTTGGGGGGAAATCCCTCCCTTTAAAATTCATTAAGAGGTGGGATGAATTAATTTTTTGATTAAAAAAAAATTTCCAATGTTGGGTTCCCACGCCAGGGGGCCCAAATTCCAAATGGAGCAATGAAATTTCACATTTTTTGTGATCTTAAAAATTGGATATGGACTTTGGGCCTTATTTTCAATGTAATAGTGTTATTTCTCTTTTTTTATGTCTAAGGCTAAAGTGTCCCCCCAAATTAAACACGTACCTTACCTCAGTTGGAATTAACAGCCATTTATTTTAGGTGTTTAAAATTTGCTAATTATATAAGAAATAAAATTGGGGAGGGGATAAATATTAGCGACAAAAGGGTAATGAGGGATCCTTTAAAAAATGGGTTTTTGTAATGGAAACAGTAAGTTTTTGTATGTACAAAACAGGGCGCTGAAATTTAAACAGAGCCCAAAACCCAAAAAAAAATAGTTTTGGGTCACATAAAGTTAAAAATTTTTTTTCATGTACCTGGTGAGGAGAAAACCAACTGATTTCTTTTTCTCGGAAAGGGTTTTTCCCTTTTGCTAAATTTGTAAATTCTGTATCAAGGTTTAAAGGGTCGAGTTGGTTGGTAAAAAAAAGCTAATTGGCCGTACAAAAAGCAATTGCTCCTGTTAAAATTAAAAGTGACCACCGCTTTCCCAAAGTTTTTTCCCTTTTTTCCCTTAGCCATTGATATAAATAGGTTTTTCTTTAAACCCCAAACTAAAAACAATTTAAAAATAAGTTTGGGGTTTATAATTTTTAAACTAGAAAGAAAATTTCATTTAAGTTTTTACATCCTCTTGAATATTGGATAAAGAGGGGGACAGGAGGAAAAACTTTTGGAAATGGAAATTTAAATTTATGATGGGAAAAAAAAATTTTTGAAAGGGTTTCCCTAATAGAGAAATTGGGGCTGTTTTAGAGAACAGGGAATTAGGTCAGAAAGGGAGGGAAAAAAATGCTGAAATTTGGGGGATTAACAAAAAAAACCCCCTATCTTACCCCGCCCAAAACCCCATCATCTAACAAAAATTTTAATTTGGCTAAATGCCCATAAAAAAAAGTAATGATGGGGGGAAAAAGATACCTTAAATTTTTTTAGGGAAAATTTTTTGGAAATTCCCCAAGGACGGCAAAAAATGTAAAAAGGGGTGGGTTTAAAACTTGTGTAATATGCCCCCGGTTGGGTGCCTTCCTATATGTCCCAGGTTTCCCCCACCATTTTTCCAAAGGGGCGTGGGACAATTAGTGAAACCATTTATGTAACAGGTTTTTTAGACTATAGTGGTCCCCAAAAATTTTAAAAAGTATGCAAATTGTGTTCCCCTAAAGGTTTTTTTGTTTGTTTGTTTACCTGTACTGCACTAAGCATTCATTTAAAGGGCACAGGACTTGGGCGCAGAACAGTTTAAAACAGCTGTTTTGAAAATTTGCAAACTAGGAGAACCCCATCCCCAGGGTTTATGATTCAGATAATACCAAAAAATTTTTTAGGGAGGGGGTCAACCTTGATAAATAAATAATAGTAACGATGTTCAATTTTCTGTTAATCCAGCGAGGTGTACCTGGGAAATTTTTTTTCTCCAAACCCCCTTTGGGAGGGGGGGGTGTAAAGAAAGGGCTGATAGGCACAGTGAAGAAGTGGGCCCCCGCAAAGACAAAACGGAAAGAATTTAAAAAGGAAGAATTCCCTGCAGTGTTAGTGGAGGCAGAAAATCGTATAAAAAAAAGGCCTCTCTTTGTACTGAGTGATACACCTGAAAGGGGGAGGAAATTTAAAACCCCTTCCCCCACCTAATATGTGGAAGGAAATTTTGGAAACTGCCCCTGTCCCCATAAATAATCCGGAAAAAAGTTACGAAGATTACAATAAAAAAGCAGTGTTGGCAAAAAATTTAAAAAGTTAAATGAAAATAATTGATCATTGGTTTAAATTTTTGGGTAAGGAATAACTTCTTACACACGTGAACACCTTTTTTTGGTGCGACAGAGACTAAATTGACAGAAACCTTCCCAAACCCGGGAAAATTGTTTTAAATTTACACTGAACAACCCTGAACATTGTGGGCGTCTGGGCAAAAAATATTGACAATTTAACCCAGATGTTTTAAGGGGTTGTCAAGGGAAAGTTTAAAGTTTTTGGGCCAAAGGGCCCGGAAAGTTTAAAGGGACAATTAATAAAATTTAAATTTCCCCTTTGGGAAATTTGGTGTTCAAAAACAAACGAAAAAAAAATCGAGGGAAAGTGACAAAGAGTGAAATGGAAGATAAAGCAGGGCCAAGGGGTGCCGGAAGAAGAAATTTGAGTAAGACCTACTAGGAGAAAAAGCCAATTCCCAAACCAAACTGGTTTGGAAACCCTCCCCCCAAAGGAAGGAAATAATTTGAATCCCTTTAGCAACGAAAATCCGGCCCGGGCCCCAGTGTGGAAAATACTGTATATTAATTTTTTCCCAAAATTTTATAAAATTTTTATGTAAAAAGATGGCCATACTGATTTTAAAAATATTTATGTCAAGAAAACGGAAAAACCTGCAAACCCAGCAGACAGACTCGCCATCTTGGTTTTTAAAATTTGGAAAACAACGTTAGTGTAAAGGGGGAAAGGAAATTTTTCCCCCCTGCTCAAGGTTTTAAAAAAAGGGCTGACCACCTCTCAAATAGGAGGGGGAAAAATTTTTTGGAAATGGGATTCCTGCATAACTTTTAGATATCAGACGACCCGGAAAAAGAAGCTCCAGGAACCCCAGATAAGGCTCTCTTTAAAATTTGTGTGTAATTCTGGGGCAGCATTTTTTTCATTTTAAATTTTTTTAAGTGAGGTTTTCTGGTATGATAAAACATTAATCTCCATCAAATTGGTGAGTTTAAAATAAGATATATTTTCCTTCTTTGGGTTAAAAAAAAGTAATTTGTGTATATATATAACTTTTATTAATTTTTAAAAAACATCCCCCAAATTTTATATATTTACCAGTATTTCTGGTGTAGTATATTTTTATTTTTAATTTTTTTTGGTTTCCCGAGCAACTTTGGATAGACAGGGTAGGTAAACGAAAGGGGGGCATTTTTTGCGACCTAAGGTCCCAAATTCCTACTTGTCTAACTGATAAATAATAGTTATCATAGTTCATTTACTGTTATGTATATAATTATACATCCAAGTAAATGCAATTTTCCACAACTACTACTATACTACTTCTACTATTACACTACTACTACTACTATACTATTACTGCTAACTACACTACTACTACTACGACCACCACCACTACTACAATAATGATAATACAAATAATATATTTGCTTCCACTGTTTTGCCACTAAACTTGTATCTGTTATTCTCGTGTCTGTAGAAAGAACTCAACCCCTCAAGCTATTCCTTTACGTCACGTCAAGAGTTGACGTCAATTCTCACCAGTTTCTTGACGTTAAGTCTAGACTTCCAGCTATTACTTTCGTCATGTTAACGTACGTTAAATTTGCTTAGGAAAGTTACATTAACCTATAGAAAGCATATATTTCACAAGAAATAAGCAAATACAAGGCTAGGGTGGCTGCATACGTGACAAACCAGCGGCTAAGCTGCACTACGAAATACTCTAGTGAACTGAGGTGAGCGGAAACAGTCACTTGAAAAAGCCCCAGAAAAACCAGTTAGGTTAGTTTAGATTAAGTTAGGCTGGCTTTAGTTAGATTTGCCAACACTACGTCTACCTACAAGCAAATGTGCCTTTTTCCCCCTGTGACTTTTTTTTTATTTGGATTAGAAGTAAGGTACTACTTATCCATTTGCAGGCCGAGTGCTATGTGGCTACTGACCAACTTGTATAAGTATGCGACTATCTTAAGCATTATTAAGGAAGCGAAGTTATTTATATAGTTTCTATGATGCATTAAATATCTCGATTTATTCAGACCTACATGCAGTTCATAGGTGTTTAACCTAACGAACCCACCTTGGCTGGAGGCGCCATTGTTGCGTCATGCTTTTTCGCTCACCATGAGGCGGGCCAAAGCAGCATGGGTTCGACTCCTTGGCTAATGCAGTGTTGTTATTGATATACATGTATATATATATATATATATATATATAATATAAATATAATATATATTATATATATATATAAAAATATATATATAATATATATATATAATTATATATATAATATAATATATACATATATAAATATATAAAATATATATATATATTATATAAATATATATATATATATATATAAATATTTTAATATATATATATAAATTTACTTTATGGGGAAAGCTTTTTCAATTTTATCGTAACTTGTTAAAGCCAAAATTGTTGTAATAAAATGTTTACGCTTTTTTGTCATGGTTTGTCGCCTTTCCTACTTCATTATTTTTTTTTAAACGTGGCATTTATCAACATCAATATTCATCATCCATTTATCAACATTAATATCTAATATCCATTTGCCTCTCCGCTTGCTCAACAAATCTATCTTATTCAGCATAATTTTATAACAATCTTGATTTCCTATATTTTGCATAATATATTTTGTAAGGTCCAAAATACTCTCATATAATTATTGCTTATTTCTGGCAGGTCTGTTACGTTCATTAAAAACATCAGAACAAGAGTTGATTCTTATGGAACATCACCAGTGACTCTTAAAGGTTTCTCCCAAACAGGTAGTGTGTTATCCACTATAATTATTTAACTTTTATGAGTTTAATGCTGTGTAGTTTCCATATTACTCACACAATAAGAACTCTTAAGTTTTTTTTAATTGTTGAAAACATAATTTGCTTATCCATTACAGTCCTGAATATGTTCTATAACTATAAAGTAATAGTGTTTTTTGATGATCTAAAATCAAACCTGCTTATTATTTGGCAAGTTTATACTCTAAATGTTGTGTCTCATTTTCTTAATCAATTTCAACAGTGTTTCAACAATTGTTAGTGAGGCAGTCCTATAGTTTACCGTGTGTGTGTGTGTGTGTGTGTGTGTGTGTGTGTGTGTGTGTGTGTGTGTGTGTGTGTGTGTGTGTGTGTGTGTGTGTGTGTGTCTGTATACTCATCTATTTATTGCTGCAGGGCCCAGCCTCTTAACTTGCCACTCTAAAGATTCACTCCTAACCCTCGTAGGCCCTATCGTACCTGCTCATAAAACTCTATATGGAGCCTGCCTTCACACTTACCAGGATCATTCCATTTTCCGACCACTCTAAAACTGAAGAATTATTTCCTAACATCCCTGTGGCTCATTTGTGCCTTAACTTTCAATGATATCCCCGAGTCACCGTTTCTTGCCTTGTAAAAGCCTATCCCTGTCTATCTTATCAATTCACCTGGTTTTCTGTCCATCAATATTGTAAGGTCCAATTTCGTTAGCCTCTCTTTCATAACTCTTGCCCCTTCGTTCAGGACCTAGTCTTGTTACGTACTTCTGTATTCTCTCCTGTTTCTTAACATGTTTTATATTTTCATGGGTGGGTTCCAAACTGGTGCTGCATACTCCAAGATAAGCCTAACCTATGTTATATAAAGGACCCAGAATGACTGTATTGAGATTCCTGAAGGCTACTCTTAGATTTGCCAGACGAGCAATGGCGGCAGAGGTTAGTCGGCTAATGTGAACCTCTGGCGTTATACTGGGCACTATGCTCACCCCTAGGTCTTTTTCTTTGAGTGAAGTCTGCAGTTCCGTCCCTTCCAGTCTATACTCCGTTTCTGGTCTTCTTGCTCCTTCATCAATATTCATGAACTTGCACTTACTTGAGCTGAATGTAAGGAACCACTTATCTGACCACTTTTGAAATTTATCCATCCCTTTAGAGCCTTTCCTTGTCCTTGTCTGTCTTTATTTTCCTCGGTTTTACAAAGAGGGATATATCTGAATCTCATCTGGAGTGTGTTTGTACTCACCTATATGTTTTTCAGGGATTGATTCACAGCTCCTGGTCCCGCCTCTGCGCTGGTCGCCACTAGGTCCACGCCCGGCTTCAAGAGCCTAATTATACCTCACCTCTTCTTGAAGTTATATAAGGATCCCTCCTCTGCCACTTCACTCTCCACATTGTTCCACTTCCTGGCAATTCTAAGGCTGAAGAAATACTTCCTAACATCCCTATAACTCAACTGAGTTTTCCTTATCGAGCTGTGCCCTTTTATTCTTCCTCCCCATCTCTCAAATATTCTGTTCCTATTCACCTTGTCAGTTTTTCTTAGTATTTTGTATGTTATCATATCCCCTCTTATCCTATTTTCCAGTGTTATCAGGTTGAGTTCCCTTAACCTCTTCTCACAGGACATATTCCTTAGCTTCGGGATTAGTCTTGTAAACCTTTGTACTTTCTCCAATTTCTTGATATGCTTGATCAGGTGTGCTTTCCATACTGGTGCTACATACTCCAGTATGGGCCTGACGTACACAGTGTGCAACAGTGTCCTGAATGACTTCTTAGATGTCAAAAAGCTATTCTTAGATTTCCCAGATGCGCATTTGCTACAGTAGTTATTTGGTTGTGTGCCTCAGGTGGTATGCTCAGTATGTAGCCTTTGACCCCCGAACCTGTACTTCGTCTGCAGTCTTCTCTGTCCTTCCCCCCACAGTCTTCTCTGTCCTTCCCCCCACAGTCTTCTCTGTCCTTCCCCCCACAACTTTGCACTTGGTGGGGTTAAACTCCAGGAGCCATTCGTCAGACCAAACCTGCAGTCTATCCAAATTCATTTGTAGTCTTTCCTTGAGCTCGTCTGCTTGTATTCTCATTAGTTTCACGTTGTCTGCGAACAAGGACACCTCGGACTTTCCCCTCCGTCATGTCATTGGCGTTTACAAGAAACAACACTGGGCCTAGGACTGATCCTTGTGGAACCCCACTCGCCACATGGACCCATTCCGAAACCTCTTCGAAGACCATCATCGTTGTTTCCTTCCTGTCAGGTATGCCTTGATCCATCGCAATGTTTTTCTTGTTATTCCTGCCTACTCCTCTAGGTTTTGTACCAGTCTCTTGTGCGGTACTGTGTTAAAAGCCCTTTTGCAGCCCAAGAAAATGCAATCTACCCATCTATTTCTATCCTGTTTTGCTTCTGTTACCTTGTCGTAGAACTCAAGTAGGTTTGTGACAGGATTTCTCGTCAGTGAAGCTTTGCTGGTTGTCATGTATGAGTCTACTTCTTTCTAGGTGCCTAAGGTGTGAGCTCTTTGTGTACTTACCTATTTGTGGTTGCAGGGGGTCGAGTCGAAGGTGTGTGTGTGTGTGTGTGTATGTGTATGTGTGTGTGTGTACTCACCTATTTGTACTCACCTATTTGTGGTTGCAGGGGTCGAGTCATAGCTCCTGGCCCCGCCTCTTCACTGATTGCTACTAGGTCCTCTCTCTCCCTGCTCCATGAGCTTTATCATACCTCGCCTTAAAACTATGTATGGTTCCCGCCTCCACTACTTCACTTTCTAGGCTATTCCACGGCTTGACTACTCTATGACTGAAGAAATACTTCCTAACATCCCTTTGATTCATCTGAGTCTTCAACTTCCAATTTTGACCTCTTGTGTCTGTGTCCCATCTCTGAAACAACCTGTCTTTGTCCACCCTTTTCTATTCCGCGCAGTATTTTTTTATGTCGTTATCATGTCTCCCCTGACCCTCCTACCTCCATGTCGTCAGGCCAATTTCCCTCAACCTTTCTTCGTAGGGCAAACCCCGTAGCTCTGGGACTAGTCTTGTTTGCAAACCTTTGCACTTTCTCTAATTTCTTGATGTGCTTGACTAGGTGTGGATTCCAAACTGGGGCTGCATACTCCAGTATGGGCCTAACGTAAATGGTATACAGAGTCTTGAACGACTCCTTTAAATGAGGTATCGGAACGCTATCCGTAGGTTTGCCAGGCGCCCCCTATGCTGCAGCAGTTATCTGATTGATGTGCGCCTCAGGAGATATGCTGGTGTTATACTCACCCCCAGATCTTTTTGCTTGAGTGAGGTTTGCAGACTTTGGCCATCTAACATATTGTGTCTGCGGTCTTCTTTGTCCTTCCCCAATCTTCATGACTTTGCATTTGGTGGGGTTAAACTCAAGGAGCCAGTTCTGGACCAGGCTTGTAGCCTGTCCCCGGTCTCTTTTTATCCTGCCTGATCCTCAAACCGATTTGATTCTTCTCATTAACTTCACATCGTCCGCAAACAAGGACACTTCTGAGTCTATCCCTTCCGTTATGTCATTCACATATACCAAGAACAGCACAGGTCCAAGGACTGACCCCTGTGGAACCCCCGCTTGTCACAGACGCCACTTTGACACCTCGTCACGTACCATACTCGTTGTTGCCTCCCTGTAAGGTATTCTCTTATCCGTTGCAGTGCCTTTCCTGTTAAGTTTTGCCTGATCCTCTAGCTTTTGCAGTAACCTCTTGCGAGGAACTGTGTCGAAGGCCTTCTTGCAGTCCATAAAAATGCAGTCGATCCACCCCTCTCTCTCTTGTCTTACTTCTGTCACCTTGTCATAAAAACTTAATAGGTTTGTGACACAGGATTTCCCTCCCTGAAACCATGCTGGTTGTCAAATAACTTTTTCTTTCCCCGGGCTCCGCCC